AGTTTTACATAGAAATATATAGGAAAATTCTTTAAAAATCTTCTTCTCAAGAATGACAAAGCCATAATTCATCATATTTATATGGAAGCATGCTCAGGTAGTGTAGATTCAAGTTTGTTCAAATCATGACCCCTGGGGGTAGGGCGGGGCCAAAATGGCCGACCAAGGTTTTACATAGAGATATATAGGAAAATTCTTTAAAAATCTTCTTCTCAATCATTTTCTAAAAAATAGCAAATCCATGATTGGTCATGGGACTACTTTTGGATTTAAACTTTACAATAAAAAGCCATTTTATACTAGTCCTACCCTTGGTGCTCAGGTGAGCGATGTGGCCCATGGGCCTCTTGTCTTGATTATCTCCCCTTGTGAGCGGACTTGGCCCTTCATTTTTACAATTTAAATTTCCCTTTACCCAAGAATGCTTGATACCAAGTTTGGTCAAAATTGGCCCAGTGGTTCTTGAGAAGAAGTCGAAAATGTGAAGTTTACAGACGGACGGACGGACGACGGACAAATTGTGATCAGAAAAGCTCACTTGAGCCTTCGGCTCAGGTGACCTAATAAAGAAACCCAAGGTTTGAATGTACATTATAGATAATTTTATTGCTATATTTTATGTGTGCATTTGGAGAAATTGGTGACCTTGTATATTTTATTGATATATGACACTTTGGTGTCACTACTACTGTTGTGGGACAGGGACTAGAAATACGAAAAAAGATCAAAAATCACTTTTCCGGTATTTCACCAGAAAAGCAGGACGGGTTCAAAGGATGAGTTGTAGCTTTAAAATGATGTGGTAAAGCCATTATCTCTTGCTGTTCATTGGTATGTACAAGTTTTGCTCTGCATTTTATGTGGTGGCTTAGGGCATTCGCATGCGCCTGGAGGCAGTTGCGAAGCAGGCGAAATAGTGAAAATAGGCTAAATTTTCAGGAAGTTTTGAGATTGTCCCTGTGCCATCATTTAGGCTTATTATGTAAGTTGTACATGTTTTATTCTTAAAAGCTTCAAATTCCTCCAGGGACTAAACCATACTATTGTTACATGTAGAAAAAAAATAATAAAATTTTACAATGTACATTTTACAAGCAGTTTAATGAAACGTGGAGATAGCGAACAGTATTCAAGATCAAAAGTCCATTAAACAATACAAAATGGGAGCAGAGCAAACAGGGACCAAAACATCGGAGGTGGGATCAGGTGCCATGGAGGAGTGAGCATCCCCTGCTGACCGGTCACACCCGCTGTATGCTCCTTGTCATGATCGGAAAGTAAAGGAAAATCCGTCGTCAATTCAGTGTATTATTAATGGACAAATAATTACTGTAGTATGAAAAATGTCTGTCAGCATTTTACTCAATGATAAATTGTATTTCCTGACAAGGTCACTGTCTCGAGCGTATCTTCTCCCTCTTTGGCCCAATCTGGCTCATACTTCGCCCACAGAGTATCTTTGGGTAAAGGGTGTGCAGTGACCTTGAACCATCTTTCTAGGTTAAAGGTTAAGGTCATAGCAGAATTTAGTGAAAAATCCTTTTTCGGAGCATATTTTCTCTCCCCTTTGTCCATCGTGGCTCATACTTCACTCACAGAGTGCCAGTGGTCAATGAATGTGCAGTGACCTTGAGCAAAGTTTCTTGGTCAAGGGTAAAAAATAGCCTGTCTGGTTAAATTCTTGTCTGGAGCATATTTTCTCTTTCCTTGGGCTAATCTGGCCCATACTTCACCCACAGAGTGACTTTGGATAAAGGGTGTGCAGTGACATTCAAGCATGTTTCTAGGTGAAAGGTTAGACCACAGAAGAATTACATGAAAAATCCTTGGTCGTAGCATATCTTCTCTCATATCGATCCAATGTGGCTCATTCTTCACTCACCGAGTTCTTGTGGTCAGTCAATGTGCATTGACCTTCAACAAAGTTTCTAGGTCAAGTGTCAAAAATAACCTTTCTGTTTAAATTCTTGTCTGGAGCTTTGTGCCAGTGGTCAATGGATGTGCAGTGACCTTGAACAAAGTTTCTAGGTCAAGGTAAAAATAGCCTCTCTGTTTAAAATCTTACTTCGGGGCATGATTTCTTTCACTTAAGTCCACTCAGCCTCAAACAAATTGACTGGGTACGGAACATTTGTGATTTTCCTTCCATATTTTGATAGAGGATATGCAACAATTTTCATAGAAGATACATTTCTTAAGGTATTTTAATTGTATTATTTTTCTGGGAGTACTTACTTTTTGTCCCCTTTAATCGATAACACCTTCAAAATAAACCCTTTTCAGCTACCTTACATTTTCATGTTCATTGCTAAACCGGGACCCTTTGAGATTGCCACCATCTCAATGATATCTAGTTTGTCAAAAATTTACCTCGTTTTAGAAATTGTTTATACGTAGAGCATTCACTTGCGTTTCGAATGAACTGAGATATATAAACTCATTATGCAGTTGATGATGGTACATTGCTGCGTAAATAAGGGAAGTTGATGATAGAAAAGCTAAAGTCATTATGTTTATCAAAGAGCTTATTAAGGAAAACATCAGCCAAAAACTATCCTCTGCCACCTTAATTTTATAATATTAAGTAACTCAACTGCATTCTGTTAAGTCCAAAAAATATTTTTAATTTAAGAGTATTTTAATACTCTGAAAATAATAAAATAAAAAAAAGATGAAAATGGCTTGAAGTTGTCATTTGGATTTTCTGTTCCCCTGAACTTCTTATTTCAATAAGTCGTCCGGTTTATCCAAGAAAATTTCGTGTATTTAACAAGGCGCAAACATCTTGATCAATCTTGTTACTTGCGTACATGTATAAAGGCTTTAAGAGGGGGTGCTCGAATTTAGACTAACTGAAGCAATTATTTGTTCATAAATTTTTTAAGTTTATCTTCCAAAAAGCCCAAACACTGATTATGTTGCAAAAATTGGATAGAGCGTATTCATTATCAACAGGGAGCATTTATTTGTCCTCGGAAACGGCGCTAACAGCTAGCATTTGGAAGGATATCTGCTGTCCCCGACAAAGAATTTGCTCTAATAATACTTAAGACCACTTTCATTGAGTTCATAGTAAGAACATCAATTATCTTTATGTGCCCATTAAAACAATCTGAGTGTCAAAGCCGGGAAAAGTGGTCATGGTCTCTGTTTACATATATTTATTTCAATAATCATTTGGAGCGATAATCCGATATGTGTCGTCGATATATCCCTAACATGCCCGGAAATTCAGCAATTCTGAAAAAAACCTTCCTCACGCATGACTGAAGAAACTAGTGGGAATTTAATGAACTATGCTATAATATCTGGGGGGAAAATAGACTTTAAAGAGGAGTGGTAGAATCCCTTGCTACAATAGTCTGTAAAACATCCAATCTCCATTACATAACTCCTTGATCGGAAAGTCATGAGTTCGAATCAAGGTCGCGACTGACCTAAGTCGATAAAAAAAGAAGGTAGAAACTGCTCCTTTGCCGATCGCTCGGCACTTTAAAGAGAAAATTGCTGGTCCTTCGGATGGAGGCCGTGAAACCGAGGCCCCTTGTCACTGTAGGCGTTGGCAAAATAAAGTCCTGTAACCTTCACTGTCAATGGCCCTGAGAGCCGAGTCAAGGCCTAAATCTAAAGCCCGTCACCGGTGTGGAGAGAAATCTAAGACTCTATGATATTTTTTTAAATTTTGCAGGTGAGTTATTGCACGTGTGCAGACCTGAGCAACGTTTCCTCGGGCTTTTTGACTTTAATTTAATCAATAGTCGAACTGAATGACCTTGAAAAACTATCATTTTAAATCTTTAATATATATTTGTTCATTTAATATATTTTTTTTTATTTCAAGAAAATATGTAAGTCCAAACGTTAATGCCTGGTGATGCAGAGTAATTATTTTAATAAATTGTAAATAATTTTTCATACTTATTTTTTTCTCGCAATATCATAGAACAGTTAAGGTCAAGATCTAGTAAATAACTTGAGACTAACTTTTGGCGCTAGATCCATTATGACGTCATAATCAATTTCAACTCTCTTTTTCCCGTACTTTACGGCTTTAGCAGAATTATGTAGAAAATGGGGTATTTTCATGACATTCAATTTGAAATCATATGAAAAGTAAACTGGATACCTATATTAAATTTGATATTGATTTAAAGAAGAGGCCATGAACATACTAATTATCGTTTTCTGAGAGACTGTAGGCAATCTGGATACATATGATAAAAATTCCCATATTAATGACTGGTTTTCTTAATTTTTCATTGAAAATGACAGTTTAAAATGCAGTTTTACATCTTGTTTACCTACAAATTATGCCCCGAAACACCTTATTTGACCAAGCTAAAGTTGTAAAGCATCAATAGAGGAATTTATCTCTCAAATTTGATAAATCTGTAGGCACCTTTCATTTACTAGATCTTGACCTTGAGTAAATGTGTTTTTCAAACATTTTTGCAAATATTATCTGTGTCAAAGCACATGCATAAATGACATACAATGAAGAAATCCAAAAATATGAACGAAACCAATTCCAGACAACACACACGTACATGTATTAAATATATTGATCATTGACCTCACGTAATTTTAAAAGCATCAAAATATAGTGGCAACAGAAGGAAACTGAGGCAATAAATGATTTAGAATTCTTATCATTCAGCTTAGTTAATATTTATACATGTATGAGATTGATAATAGTAACAAAAACGAGAAAATTGACAAATTAAATTAGAATTGTTTATCAAGATGTAGTAAAACATTCTAATATTATATTTCGTTATCTTAAGAGATTTTTTTGTTGCTCGTTATATTTTGTGATAAAAGAAAACATTAATCATAGTGTAACACGTTAAATTCATGTTCACGATCTCTCCTAAAAAGTTACATAACCATTAAACTTGAAATGAAAATGTACCGACTAACGTAATTTTTTCGGATATTTAAATGAAATAAATATACTTAGTCGACTCATAAAATTAATTTGGAATCATTTTTGGGGTCAGCCTCGTCACCCTCTTCGGAATTTGAATTTATACTGTGATATCTAAGCATTGCTCAGTTTAAATAGTGTACTGTAAGTTAAAAACATTTGAAAAAGTAAATATTTCGATCTAGATTATAAAAATTAACAAATCCCACAAATACATGTATAACAATTTGAGCAAACATTTTAAAGTTATGAAATAAGCCAAATTTTCTTGAAGTACATTTTGTATTTTAAATCTTTACTTATATTTATCAACAAATCAAAATCTATTTAACTTCGATGTATATTTGTTTTACTCTTTTTATGCCAGGATCACAGAGCTAGTGACATGGGCATACCGACAACAGTTTTAATTTAAATGGCAACATCCTGCAGCAGGCCATTTCCTTCCATTTTAGAACTCGATCTATCATTGTCCTCTTTGGAATTTAGGTTAGTATTGTTGTACGTTGTAAATCCATTTGTACTTCTCTGTATTTTTTTCAGATTTCGCCCCAGCATGGTTCCCATTTCCCGCCTGAAATTGTTATTTAACCAACCGTAAAAGAATGGATTAATACATGAAGAGCTCATGGCAATTATTTTCAATAATAGATCCACCAGTTTGTAGGCTGCACCAAGCGTTTGAAATATATCAGGACTAAAGTACAATGTGATGCTAAAGAGCTGGAAGGGGAGCCAGGTAAGAGTAAACAGAATCGTTATGGAGACCAAAATCCTCGTTATGTGGTAATTTCTTCTGGTCTCTTTCCTCTTTACGGGTCGTCGTTTGAGTACTTGATAAATTTGAAAATACAGAACGGAAATTAGGGTTTTGGGGATCACAAATTGAAAAGCAAATCCGAAAATTGTGTAAATTCTGCTTGACCTTTCTTCCCAAACTTCAAGACAGAATGGGCGATATATTCGTTCATCAATAAAAGGTCGCATGTCATATTCGGCTATTTTGAGTTCTGTATGAACAATGGCGGGCACAGTGAAAGCCATTGCAAATAATATGATGATAGCCACAATACAAATGGCTTGCTTTTTGGCGATCTTTTTCCGAAAGGGAAATACAATAACGATGTAACGTTCAATAGCAATCATTAGCATGGCGTATGTAGACACAAAGACTGGCATCGTAAACATTGGAATAATTACACGGCAAAGCACCGGTCCAAATTTCCAAAAATCAGTGATCCCATAATGAAGCTGGAACGGTAAATTAAAAGCACACAGCATAATATCAGAAAGAGCTAGGGTACAGATGAATATGTTGGTTACGGTATGAAGCTGCTTGTTGATTATGATAACTATCACTATAGCTAAGTTTTCAAAGAATCCAAAGAAAATCACAATGGCGAATACAAGGATGAAAGTAATTTTCCATGATTCTTCACGGAGAAGGTTTGGCATAGAGAGATCCACGTCAGATTTATCGTAGTTACTGAACGGGGTGATGTTAAAATAGCTGAACAACAGATCTTCATCAAACGAACTATTCATTTTTCTTAATATCGTGGAATTGCAATTCACAATTGTCCAAGAAACCTATCTAAAATGAAAAAAAATCATGGTATTTAAAACACAGTTTATTTAAGAAAATTAATTTTTAATAGACGAAAATAAAAGGAAATCTGTACATTTACCTGACGTGTAAAATCCCGCGAGTAAATTCACAATTTGTTTCAAAAGATCTCTCAGAATGAATGTACAAACTAAAGATGTAATCTCGGAGACTAAACAGAAGTGATTCTTGCAGTATATATATATAGATCTCTATTCCAATAATGAGAAGTAATAAATCGAATTCCCACCAAGCTCATTTGCTTTTTGTGGCATTGGAGGTTAATTCCCTGTGAAACTTGTGAAACAAATATCCAATGAAAATGGAGCGTCCTATTACAGTTATCACTATTTTTATATCATCCTCCACAAAGTAATTTTAAAAAGTCAATTTCAGGGCAAAAAATGAAGAATTGGTTTTCATATGTTTGAAAAAAATCATTAACAGTTGTTTTATTAAAAACAAGGACTATTATGCATCCCAGCGAGCTGTAGAACAACACATGATAAGGTAACGCGAAACACTTGTACAGTGTATGTAGGCGATTTTTGCTGCCGAGAATCTTTTTCTGTTGATTCAACGCATTATTTATACTGTACTTACAAGTTTCTATTGATTTTTAGTGTAATACCGGACACTGTTTAAATCATCATAAACTAGCCTCATTGGAAGTAATAGGTCATATTAAATGTGACGGGTAGATTTATGTTTTACATTTGCTATTTTAATCAAACATTTAAAGAATGTTTTTACATCACATATCTGTTCGGTACAGGATGACAATTCTAGCTATGCAAATTAAAAGAAAAAATTCACGGAGAAATAATGTTCTTTTGAAAATTGATCTCACCGGTAAATAAAGCATGAAAAGAATTCTTGGAAAGGCCTTATTTTAGATAATGTGTCATTGCCTTCTCTAAACTTAGGGTGAAAAAAGGAGTCAGGACAAGTGAGTTGAGTTCCAAGTTTCCACAATTTTATGGAAATTTCATTAATAAGAAAATATTATTTCCTTCAAGGTTAAATAAATTAAAAGCAAATCATAATACTATTCTAAAATTGGATGTTAAAACATTCGTATTTGTCGCTATCACCATATACAAGCTAAATAAAAAAGGGTACTCAAGCTTATACAGTGATCACATCGCATTCCCTCTCAAAATGGTCTCTCTTGCTTTTTCAGGAACCTATGATGAATAAAAATTGCTGGTATGTTGTTTTCTCCTCTTTCAAGAAATTTTACTTTACAGGGAGGCGTCATCTTATACCAATTTAGACCTTTACTCGGCATTCAGGGTATTGCGCTATTCGAGCAGTGGAGGATGTTTATCGCACTAACGTCTGCCTTGAAACGGGGTATCGGTTTTTAAGGTCTCAGCCGAAGGACCCTTAACTTTAACTTCAAAATGCCGGACGCTTGGCGAAAAAACAATTGCTACATGTACGTATTTTTTGTCGACAGGTCAGTCCAAGCTTGGGTTCTAGCCCATGACCTTCAGATCACGGAGCGAGCCCTCAGTTAAAGTTCTTTTTGCTTTTTCTTTTAATCATATACATGTATTAATATTTACATTTGCTGTGTTTTTCTAGTAAGGCAACTGTGAAATTGATTTGATGCCATTTTCATGTATACTCACGCGTAGAAATATACACGGAGAAACGTCACAATGATGCTACAGCGACGTTAGTGAAAGTATAACGAAATAAGGCAGCGAGAAATTCAAATATTGAGTATATTTTTTATGCTTTTAGACATTCAATATGTAAATATAAGGAATGTTTTTAAGTTTAGTGTGAATCATTGGTGTGTGAATCACACAGACTTGCACGTAGGCATGTTTTTCATGAAGCGCGCAAGCAAATATGCTTATGTTGTAAATTCACCAGTTCAAACGAACATAAATTATTTATAAATAAAACTCAAAAACACTTTATATAGGATGAGCTCGCATGCGCGAGTGCAACAGACTTTAATGAAGTGTATACAGTATACAAAGCACAGTCTTTAGCTTAACTTCTGAAATCCAAATCATTCTACAAAAGAAAAAGAAACAAATAAAGCGACAGTCAACATTAAAACGAACATTTTAACGTGTACAGTATATCGATCGTACTGGAAGGGGTGGGTGGGGTGGGGGATAAGTCTGTTGCAATGTAGCAGCGAACTTCGAATAACTTAAAACACCCGAAAATCTACCTCGTACGTGTCTGAATCATGCGTAGCACGGATTCAACCTATTCACCCGTAAACAAATGAACAACCAATCGATCTCCTTTATCGATGGACTTAATCTGCATACAAAACAAACACACGTGTTTTACCATAACTTTTATAAATATATTTATGTTGTAAATTCACCAGTTCAAACGAACATAAATTATTTATAAATAAAACTCAAAAACACTTTATATAGGATGAGCTCGCATGCGCGAGTGCAACAGACTTCGACGATAAAGAAAGCATTGACATAAAATTATCGAAACGTGTATGACCCCACCCCTAGATGTCAAGACTTCAAGGTAATCCAATTATTACTATACGTTTTTCAAACCAGGCCTTGAATAATTAAAAATTATCATAAAAATGTCGCAGAATTCTCAAAGTGATGCGTATTAACCCACATTGATCATTCTTCAAACTTCATAAAGAAAAGTTAATATTATTTAGGAGAATAAAAATATAACTTTCAGGAATGCAAATGAATTCACCTATAACATGCATTTTCCAAACGAAAGTTTTTCGACAATTATATCTATGTTAAAAATTATAGGTTTCCAAGCATTTGAAGAAAACTCCACAGATTTTTGTCCCCCGCTTGAAAAGTGGGGGATATTAATTTGGGTTTGTCCGTCCGTCCGTCCGTCTGTCCGTCCGTCCGTCCGTCCGTCCGTCTTTCTGTCTGTCTGTAACGCTTTCGTTTCCACACGATATCTCGAGAACCCTTTGAGCTTTTGCAATGAAATTTAGCATAGCAACTCCCTATGGACTAAAGAAGACCCCTATTGATTTTGAGGTCAAAAGGTCAAAGGTCAAGGTCATAAATAAGCAAATTCTGTCTGTTAAAACACTTTCGTTTCCACACGATATCTCTAGAACCATTTGAGCTATTGCAATGAAATTCTATATAACAACTCCCTGTGGCCTAATTAAGACCCCTATTGATTTTGAGGTCAAAAGGTCAAAGTTCAAGGTCGTAAATTTATACATTCTCTCTGTGTGTAACACTATCATTTCCGGGCGATATTTCAAGAAGATTTTGAGCTGATGCAATGTAATTTTATACCAAAACTCCCTAGGACGTCTCTCGCCCCTCTCAAAGTGCCTCGTCCCGTTTGTTTTACTAGTATTTATAGTATTACATGTCGCTATTTTTAGCGCAGGGGCATGAGGAGAGTTATTGCGTATAAAACAGGTTCTCGGCGGACTTTATGTTCTTATTACATCTATTGGAACTGTTTAATAAAGGCTAAATAAATCAAACACCATGGATTGTGTAAAAATTTGAGAATACCGAACATGAAAACATGAATATATACATGTATGTGACTTCAGTTCTGCATATACTTCACACTGTGGAAAGCGACTCCGTGGTCTAGTGGTTAGGTCTCTCGCTTCAAATGTGAGAGGTCCCGGGATCGAATCTCGGTCGGACCGTTATTTTTTTTCTTTTTTTTTTTTTAAATACCTTTTTTTTTTTAACTAAATGATAGTATTCAGCATGTGAAATGAAAAATTTATGAGGTTATAAAATCATCATTATAGTGTGATAAATATTCCATATGAAAAAATCTTCTATACACATAATAAAGAATAAGCAATCAAATCTTTATATGCATATTAACATACATGTATTTTATTTCCTTCAGTATACATGTATACATTTAATAATTCTACAAATTCAGTCAGGGGTAGCCGACTTTTTCCCTAAGCGGGGGACACAAATTCTCTGAATTAGCTTGTTATACTGAGTTCTGTGTTACTTTAATTTCTTCTATGTATACTGCACAATTATTATTATGCATACATACTGTAGTTTATAAAGCGTTTGCTATGAATGCTAAACTTCATAAATCAATTATAAATTTATATCAAACTTAAAAATTGGTATTTAAGGCTAAATCGAGGACATTTGTATAAAAATGTTCAAAGAACTTTCAATTACATTAAGATTCATAAACACTCAGTCTGCTCACTGGTATGAAATGTTGCTTGAACCTAAATGATTTTCCAAAAAAGAAATGTGTTTATAAGTAAAATACATGCAATTAGACAAAAAAGACACTTGCAAATCTATAAAGGAATATTAGACATTTATGTCATTCAGAGTTATCTCTCCTATCAGAGTATTAATGAACCTTAAGTTGCATGAAATTCAGTTTGTTATATATAAAGATTTCAATTTCAAGCTTCCTTTGGAGACTTTCATGACTTTTGAATAAATCATTAAATAAAAGAGTTATCCTTCCCGGCTGAAGAGTTTTCTTTTCCTTTTTACCATGACGTCTTCAGATTCATGAACTCAAAAAGCCTTCTACGTTGATTTTTTTTTTTTTATTGAATCATACATAAAAGCATTTGCAGTTCAGATAGCAACCCCGTTAAAACACTATGAAGAAAAAAATTACTTATATAAACTTAAAAGTTTGAGTGCTTACAGAATTTCTCTGTTTCTTGTACAAGATTGTGACTTCCAGATACACAAGAATAACTTTTACAATACAAATTAAATTTAAATCAATCATAAATTATACTCATCTGATCAAACTCAATTATTAACCTTTTCTAAACATCTCTTGGTTATTAGCAATAGGACAAAAGAACTGAACTACACCTACCAGAATGTAAACATTATTCCTCTTTGATTTTGACCAGAGGTGATTTGTCCGAACCTTGATTTTAAACACAGCTTTGGAAGTCTTCACACAAATCCTTCAATGAAAGTTTTGCAAAACATCTGGTCCGTGTGTCCTGACTAAAGATACCTGAAAAAACTTTGCTCCAAAAATTTCAAAATCAGATTGTGATATCAAACTGCTTTATTATTCCCAAATCATTTTCTAAACGCTTAGAATCCAATCCAACAGATTCTATGATTATAAGAAGCACAGTTACAATTTGGCCTCCTTTACAGAATAAACAAGACAATGCTATATTAGTATTTAAGCTATTAAAATATAAATACGCAAGTACAGTAGTTTCGCTTTGTCAATTGAAATTTCAAATATGTCTGCAAATACATCTCAAACAAATTGCACTTTTGTATATCTTTTGAAGTTTATGTAC